GACCAACTTTCTACAACAATACCTCAAATTATATAAACATTTTTGTTAACACTTTACTTGAGGTGACACAAGTAATTTAATAACTCAGTTACTACTCAAATACAAATCATAAACAGATATCATAATTGCATGACATACATGAACTGTTATATTAATTAATGATGAACAACCATGGAATCAGTATGTAACCACATATTTTTTCCGCATTTAAATGTTTTAACCACATAGTAATCAGTCTCATGATGTATAATACTGCAAAGCAGTGTCATTAAAAGTGGATGTTGAAACAAAGCATGTGTAAAATCCTAGTTGTGAGACTTCACACCATCTTGTGAGGCCTCACTCTTCCATGGAGATGTTTCACTTTTGAACTTAGTCTTTGAAGCAGTATTCTACTTGATCAGACAAGTGGGAATTAGTACAGAGCTATAAGTTCCCAATGGGATTACAGAAAGAAGATTTAATAAAGGGTGCTTTCTTAAGCCCTTGAAGTCCAGCTGAATTAGCACGCAGAGGATAAAGAGATAATCTGATTATTAGACCTAGCTTTGGTAAAATGCGTTGCATTCATTATTAATGATACGATTTTGAAATGAACAGTGAGAAAAAGAGCTTGGCATGGAAGTGTTACACATTTGTGTATCGGCCAGATATTTGCAGACGTTGAAAAAAGCTTTTGCCTAAATGATGTGTTTTTATTTTCTCGTGGTCTTTTTGGGATTCTCTGCTCTCTGGGGACATATTTATCCACTTCAGTCATGATTTTTGAATGTGATGTGTGATAATGTCTTGGAATCTGATGGCAGATTTCCTCTTGAATGTCAATGGGTTTGAGACCTCGTGTCAGTGATGATAACCAAAGGGCTGTACTTGACACTTCTGTCCACTACATAGGAGAAAGTCCTGGAATTACAAGTACTGCTTTTTAGGGAAGCTGCTTCACTTAGTGTGTACCCCGTGGCATATTCAGCTCATGGATCTCATTCTTCTGAAATGCCATTGGCGGCATTAACATCTGGCTGACTGTGAAGTTCACGTATTAGAAACTGCAAATGGGCACTTAACGAAAAGATATTTAACAAAATGTCTGAAAAATGGGATCAGGATCAGGAACTTCTGAATGCATGGAATATGAAACCAGGAACGTTCTGCTGATCCACGGAAGATTTTAAGTTTGTGGCATAGATATGCATTTGTTTTTATGTGGGCAGTTTAAAGGCCCCCACCATGATGCCGGAATGCAGTAGAGTTAGCTGGTGGAATGTTGCTTCATCACAGTCATGATGAGGAATGGAAACAAATTTTTGACATCTGTGAAACACTCACACACACAGAAAAAGTGTAACTTGGGGTATGGTTTGGAAATGTGTGGATGATTTGCCGCCTTAACAGAAAGGGGCCCTTTCTTTTCATGTCTCTGACCCTGCGGTCAGCGGTCTGGGGGGCATCTTACTCCGAGTGTGGCGGAAATAGGGGGGCTGCACGCTGTGAAACAAAACTTATGATTTTAATTTTTTTTATAGAGGTAGCTCAAACATGATGATTTAACTGTGAAAATAAATAAATATCAACCTGCGAACAAAGAATGGAGGCTGAACAATATGCATTAAAGTATTCTTTACATTGGAGAAGATCCTGGAATTATATGCATATGTTTTAATGAAAGGAAAAGGAGACGGATCATGGCAGGAATTCCAGTTTTGATGTCAGCTTTATCTAATCAAGGGATAAGACCACATGCGAAGCACTAAACTCATTTGTTATGGGGGGGGGGGCAGCGGTGGCTGAAAAAAACAAAGGATTTCTGTAATCTGTGGATCCTATTAACACAAGGGCAGTTAAATTGGATATTTCATTAAGGTTAAGTACAAAACCTACTAAACATGTTAATTACGTTTAATGATTTAACACTTTACAAAAGATGGAACTGAGAATATTGACACAGCCTGCCTCCATGTTATTATTATAATACTACTATATCATTTTAACAATATATTGTATTATATATACTGTATGTATGTTCAGTACTTGTTTATTTGTCACTCCAGAATAACTAGACTCTCTGCCAAGACTTGGATTAAAGTTTTATTATTTCAGCATTATAATCATTTCATGAACTCTTAAGGGACATTTAAATGAAAAGCATTAAAAAGACATTTGGTTTTTTGCTATAAAATATTTCCTACTCAGGCAGTGCTATAATATATGGATCTTAAATAACAATATTTCGTACATCTTCTACCTGCTCATCCGGGATTAGGGGGAATATTTTATTTAAAAACATAAACATGTAGTTCAATGGAAGAGAGACCAAAACGCTTCATGGTTCCACATTAGCTGTACGCAGCATCTCTCAGGCACCTCCTCACCATCACTGTACACCAGCTTCCCAATCCGGTCCTCAGGGCCCACAGACAGTCCACATTTTTGCTCCCTCTCAGCTCCCCCCAGACAGTCCACATTTTTGCTCCCTCTCAGCTCCCCCCAGACAGTCCACATTTTTGCTCCCTCTCAGCTCCCCCCAGAGAGTCTACATTTTTGCTCCCTCCCAGCTCCCACCAGACAGTCCACATTTTTGCTCCCTCTCAGCTCCCGCCAGACAGTCCATATTTTTGCTTGCTTCCAGGTGCCAGTAAGGAGCTGGGAGGGAGCAAAAATGTGGACCATCTGTGCGTCCCTGAGGACTGGATTGGGAAACACTGGTTCGACACATCAGGGCATGTCTGATGTCCTATGCGGAAATCAGCATCAGCTCAGTAGCTGAGACGTCCCATCGAGGAACCTCGAATCAGAGTATTATCACATACAAAAGTATCCCCATGCCAAGAACACCACATAGAAAAAATCGCAGTGATTTAAATGACATAATTGTTTGTTAGCCATTTTAACTCACATTCATCTAAACAAAAGGTTAATTGCCATTCTCATGGTTGAGCCTCTTCTATGTCTATGAACTCCCTTTAGGTACACCAATCCTTGTCTGACATGACTTAATAATTTCACTTTTTGATGATTATGAAGCTGTAAGTAACACATAATAATGGGATACTATTACATCTGTCATGTTTGAACATGACTATTATTTCATGATATCTGTCTTCTTTACTTCTTGTGTACTTCTGATCTTATAAATTTCTTTCAACAGAACTTGTGGCTCAGTGCATATAAGATTCCAGTTAGAACAGTTCTGTATTGAGATGTTTTCTTTAAACAGCCCATAATGCCCGATAAGTTCTGGGTTTGCACTTTTTTTACTATGCTTGAATCTATTTTAGTCTCCGTATAACTGATTATTAATCACTTTGTCACAGTTACTTATAACATTTCAGTTCGTCAGGACTGCCTAGACTGCTTGAAAAGTGAGCCCAGATAAAGTGATCCTCTTGCTTTCCCATGATTCCATGAGGCTGTTGTATGACGTAAAGGCATTTTTATTGCAATGCTGTCAGCGTGACACTCCCTACTGTACATGTTTATGAACAGTGTGAGATGTCCAGACTACAATAGAAATGCTCTGGTGAACATATGTAACACATCACCTGAGGATGAATCCACAGTTAGGCTTTGTTTTTGTCCTTCCTCCTTGGTTTTTACTCTGTTACTATATGAGATGTCCAGGTTTGTTAGTGTTTATTAAAATTTAACTTTAATATTGTACCTGTCTATATATTTTTTTTCCTTTGGCAACTGCTGTAAGATACCCCATAGATCTGTCACCACCTATGAAATTAACCATCGCTGGATTGTCAAAGTGATTTCTAAGAATTGTTTTGAAAAACTTGTTTAGTGCGCTTTGAGAGCTATACCTGTATATGTATTAATATTTTTATTGTTGCTGGGTTTGTGAAAGGGACCTCCAATGGTTTTACTAGTCACGTAGCGCAGCTCCTCACTTCCAGTTCAAATTTCTGAATTCTTTCCAGTGTAATTACTCTATTGTAGTTCAACCTCATAATATACTGTATTCTTTATTATTGTGGAGCATGGAAAGTAGAGGATTGTCAAACTCTGGGTGTTAGAAGCTACATATCCTTACTTTGCACAAACGTTGTCCCGACCAGGCAGATCATTGGCCTCTCTGGGCAGGTCTCCAGTCCATGACAGGGCGCATGCTCACTGTCACTGTCACACACAAAAGGGACATTTAGAGGTGCCAGTTCACCTCACCACAAGGTTATGGATTTCAGAAGGAACTAAAAGCATGCAGAGCAGGAATGAAACCCCCAGCCCTGGCTGGATGAGGTCACCACACCTCCTGTTTTGTTTTCTGTTTGTTAATGATCTTTTATCTAATTCATCCGAACATAAAAGAGGCTCCCTGATGGAAATGGTCCAATTAAATCTTTTGGCAGTTTTTTTTTTCTTATTGAGACGATTTGTATGGTACGATTGAAGTTAACCATTGAAGTTAACCATATCTGGTAACACTTTACTTGGGGGGGAAAGGCACAAATAATGTACAGTAGTAGTACACTCTTATTACATTAATTAACCAGAAGCCAAGTGTTAGTTACATACTGATCCCATGTTTGTTCATCATTAATCAATCATAATGGTTTATGTACAGTATGTCATGCAATTACTATATTTGGGTAGCACTTTACTTGATGGGCCACAAATAATATATCATTATGCTAATACTTATGTATTAATTGACCACAGACTGTTTTATTTACATACTGATTTCATGTTAATACATCATTAATAAATTGTGATGCATGTTTTACCTCAGACAGTATTACTACATTTGTTACTATATCTGTTAATTCTGTAAACCTTTGTGAACTACTAAGGAACTACTGAAGGAACAAGTAATGAATAATACAAGTTAAATACTGATCTAATGTTTGCTCATCAGTAATGAATCATGATGCTTCTTTTATCTCAAGTAGTGATTTGTTCATGATTTGTACTTCAGTAGTAAGTGAGCTATTACTAAGTATTTGTGCCCCATCGAGTAAAGTGTTACCCCATAACTGACAGTGTTGTGCATCTGCTAGATTGAGGAGCTCCTGACCACCTTGGAGCAGACGAGGCAGGAGCTGGACGCCACCAAGCAGCGCCTCTCCTCCACCCAGCAGTCCCTGGTGGAGCGGGACACCCACCTGACCAACCTGAGGCAGGAACGCAGGAAGCAGCTGGAGGAGATCCTGGAAATGAAGTAAGTGGCCTCCCCTCTCCATGGACCCTCTCCACTCTCTCATGTCTCTTCTGTGAAGGAACCGGTGCAGCTGTCGCCATGATTCATGAGTGTTTGGTTCTGAGGCCAAAGGTCAAAGTTAATGTGAAGGCCTACCTGTTTCGGTCTAGGTGTGTGGTTGAACCTTTTACACTGTTAGCAGTGTTGGAGACTTAGACCTACATCTCATGGCCAATCACTTGTTCTGGATTTGCTGTTTAGTATTGGCTTTTAGCTTCTTAGCAGTTTAAATGCCCAATAATTAAAACGTCAGATTTGAAAATTTAACGGAAGTTCTTCACTGAGTTACATAAGGAAAGAGGGAGTTTTGGTTCCCAGTCCTGCGAAGTATGATGAGTTAACCGTGTTTTAGGTAACTGGGAGTCTCATCTCAAAAACAACAAAAACAGACAGAGAGAGTTTTGCAAATTTGCTCTTTGCGATTTTCTGCTGATCATTATAGACAAAAGTAGCTTGATTACACAGCTCTTCTGCTGAGATCATATAGTGGAACCAGCCATTTGCCGATTATTCTCACTGTTGTGCCTCTTGGGCAGTGGCTAGGAACTCTGTGGTCAGTGGGTGTTTCATCGCGCTGAGGGTGGGGAACTACAGCCGAACTAATTAAAAAGGCATTTTATCTTAGGCAGAGTTAAAGTTGTGCACAGTATGTCACGCTAATTAAAATTGGCCTGTCATCTATTAATTTACTGTAAACTAGGCTCCTTTTAACACTTTGAGTTTATATTCAAAAGCCCAGGCAACATCAGGCTAATAACCTCCAATGTTAGTAAGCAGGGAAAGTGATATGCAACCATTATGGTGCACTTGGATTTTCAATATGAGAATCTTATTTAGATGTAAGTCTGGCAAGCATCTTAAATAACAGCAGACTTTCAAATACTTCTGTATATTGAGGACAGGTGTCTTGGTGGGCTCTCATTTTACACAAAGTTCTTGAGAAGTTCAAATATTTATCACATTTTTAGCTACAGATGTGTTTTGGTTGTGTTGTTTGACTCAGTGGGTGTGCATTGCATATCTCAATGGCATATGGCACAAAGAAGTGCTTTTAAGATCAAGATATAAAGCTATTTCTTTGAGAAAAAGCTCATAGAGTCAAACCCAATAACGCACAGTTATTTAAATCAAAAGACTTTGATGGGCATCTTGATCAACTGGCTGCATTTGTTTCCAGGAAGCTCTATGAAAAACAGTATGCTTTTTGTTACATATACTGTAGAAATGCCTGTTTGCTCAAAAGACTCTAAACTCGCAGGTGTGTTATCATGTGCTCTGTATTTTATGTTCTTTGTTTCTTTTTTAGCTGCATACAAAATTCATAAATGCATACATGGAGATGCAGTAGTTAGTATCTTACTCACTTTCTCTCACTTTGTAAATCTGACTGTGAAAGACGGCCGGCCTCAGCTGCAGCCTCGGTTCATCCCGCTTAATCTTCTGCGACAGCTGCGATCTTCGCTATTTATTGCCTATTTGTGACTTTCCCGGCCGCCTGTAGATCAGTGATCTTTTGTATATCGAGCTATATGGCTTACAAATGTAATAGATGTTTCACAGGCGTGTATGGATTTATTCTATTTATGTAATGCTTGCAGAACATGTCGGCTGTGTATTTTCTCATCACTGGCACGCAGGCTAAAAACAGCGACCCAGGAGTACTGTATATGAAACCTTTGTTTAAAAAAAAAAAAAAAAACAGTTTCCTGGTTTGGTTGAAGAGCGAGTAGAAAACTGAAGCAATTGTCACCCACCTCACCCATGCTAACAAACAGAGGCGTGCTTGTTCCACCTCGTGGCATAATTGTTGTCTCATTAATGTGCTGTTTTGGCAGAGTTTATTTTACTTTATTGTTACGTTTGTTTGTTTTCCCCAATTTGAAGTCTTCCCAGTCTGCAAATTTCTAATAATTTAATTAGAATAATTATTGTAATAATGCAACATGAGGTTATTCATTAAAAATAATAATGCTGTAAAAAATAATGAATTGAGATAATTGTTAGAGAATCATGATTATCAGACAAGAGAGTTTATATGAAAAAACAAATTATAACCAGTCTAATGTTTCTAAAAGTGATGAAATCTGCTTGTATCATGAACATACACAAAAGCATGGTAGCAGTTTTGGGTTGTCATTCATCGATTTAACACTGAAGATTTTCCACAAATCAGTTTTTAGAATTAGATTGCTGTAGATCCAGGTGAGTTTCTGATCCTGTTAAGCATGCAACAGACATTTAACTGTTAAACAGCAGACTTCAGGTTAAGTTTAATAATACATGTTTGAATGAGATCACCATGAAGGCGTAGGGATACAGTGAGGCGCGTGTCGGCTCTGTGAAGGCGTAAGGATTCAATGAGGGACATGCGATTTCAGTGAGAGACATTGGGTATTCATTATATTCTAAAATAAGTCACACTTACTGCTCAAGATTTCTAACACCTGGGGCAGTTTGCTTTTGCGTGCACTCCTGGGACTATGAGTATGACCAAAGCAGATCAGTCTGGTATTTGTTTGCCAGTGTGAAAGACCCTACAGGGTCTTGGCAAAATCTCACGCCAACACCAGGAAAGAGACGGGAAGTAACTTGATCCTGAAGACCTTTTTCCATCTATGACACCTTCAACCTCTGCCTCACTTCAGAGGTTTTTTTATTTTTTTTTAAAAGCCCTTTAAAGTTATGGGACTCAGGTGGAATAGCTGGGGTAGGTTGGTATAGGAATGGAGTAGTAATCGAGTAGGGGAGGTCATAGGACAAAGAAGCTGATTTGCCAAGTGAGTGAGCATTTCAGGCATTCTTGAAGACTTCAGAGTGTGATCCCTCCCAGGGTTAGGGGCAGATTAGGAGCTCTGCCGGTGACAGGTAGGCCTTCCTGTGCAGGCCAGGGCCTTGTGTGTGGTCCCATGGAGGAGGAACCGAGATCCACCCTGTGTGTGTGTGTGTGCGTGTGTGTGTGCATGTGTGTGCGTGTGTGTGTGTGTGAGCGGGTTTACCTATCCTTATGGGGACACAATGTCCCCATAATGTGATAAATATCCGTTTTTTTTCCCTTATGGGGACCGGTTTCCTGGTCCCCATAAGGGAAAACTCTATTTTATAAAAAACGGTGACTGCTACTGTATGAAAAAACTAAAAATGCAAAAACTTTTGTATTTTGTTAGGTTACTTATGGTTATGGTTAGGGCAGGGTAGGGGTTAAGGTTGTCATAGTTAGCGTTAGCATTTTTCCCATTGAAATGAATGAGCGGTCCCCATAAGGATATGTTTACCCTACATGTGCGTGTGTACACGTGCATGTGTGTTTGTGTGTGTGTGTGCGTGTGTGTGTGTGTGTGCGTGTTGGGGCCCAGTCCGCGGTAACACAGCGAGGGGGGAGAGGGCGTTTTACTCCTGAACACATGGTATGGCCACCGTCTCAGTCTGGTGTCTCACACAAGCTAATGGCTCCAAATCCAGGGGGAAAGACTCTAGGGCTCAGGATGGCATCAGCGCAATAAGGAAGTGGCGGGGCTAGAAGGGGGCCTATTGGAGGAAGGTGCACGTAGTTCAAGGATCAAAGGTCATAGGTCATAGATTTGAGAAATACTTTCACATTTCTCACTAAGAAGATATTAACAGTGCAATCTGTGACTCGAAGGCTAGGAAATTTGTCTTTACGAAGAGCAAACTGAATAATGCGGTTTTGTCAGGAAAGAAAACTTTCTATACCACTGACATGGTGTAATCTAATAATCAAGCAAATCATCAGACACGGTTAATTAACACAGAAAGACAAAATGTGCTTCGGTGGTTATTGTGATCTAAGGTGAGAGGGGTGTGAACAAAGTTGCCAACACATTGTTATGATGAACTTTAACTGCTGCTTGGAGGGAACTTCCTGAGCAGGATGAATAAGTGCCCCCACTGGAGATGCCACAGTCGTCCACCTGTGAGCCATTCTGGAACATTTTCACGGGAAAGGGGGCTTCAACTGCCAACTCACCGTCGTACTGCAAGCGTGCCGGATGTCCCAGTGAATGTACAGTGTGTCTGCAGCCTCTTTCTGCAGTGCAACTTGAAAGAGCACATCCCTGGGGAGGGCAAGCAGAGAAAACAATAGGCGGCTCTAAAGCGAGGGCCCCCAGACTGGCCCATCTGAATCCACTTACATGTAAATGGCTTGTCAGTATGAATTAAGGTTACGTTTGTGAAGGAACTGTTTTACTTTGTTTACTGTAGGATTTTTGACAGTCTCTTTCCTCTTTCAAGTAAACTTGGCTGGTGTATACAGTTGGTGCAGCGTTAAGTAAACTCATCTTTTGTTACATTAACAAGGTTATAACATCACCAGGGCAGTTTTACAGCTGCAAGACTGGAGGTCTAAACATGGGAGGCTATGGATAGGGACATGCAAAAAGAGCAGAGTTTTTAGTGCTGAGATAAGGCGGGGGCAGGGGGGTAGGGGGGTAGGGGCGCAGGGGAGGAAGGAAAGTCACCAGACAAAATTATATAGATGGGGTATTCTTCTGATAGAGAAGGTGAGGGTAAAATACAATCTATATGCAGGGTTGCTCAATTGCTTCTATGATTTATATACACACACATAAACACTCACACTCACATACACACACACACTTATATACATACATGCATATATGTATAGAGCCAGGAACTCTCAACATTGCAAACTGTGCACTGTTATTAAAAAAAAAAATACAAAAGAAAAGAAAATGTAAAAATGTACGTGCTCTGTCACAGGTCAGGGCTCTTGGCCAACTAGTTAGGCAATCTGTTTTGGGCTGGCATCTGGGATTTTGTAAAGAAGAAAGAAAGAATTAAAAATGAATTAACACTACAAAAGGCTGGATCTCCATGATCTTCCATTTGCTTCAGGGTTTTGATTTGTATTCATTGCAGACTTTTCCTCAGAACATACCACAGTGCAACATGGGAATTTTGCCCATGTATGCATGGTGTGC